TGGGTTAGTGTCGGGTTAGGGATTTGATCGAGACTTGCCACCCTAGTCGTAACAATCCCCAATCTCTTAAATCATCATATTTGTTAATTCCCTCTAAACCTAATTACTTTACAATATCACAACCTTAAGATTTTAAACATATAAACTTTATAACATTACCAATTAATCACCAAACCCCAATCCAATTTAGTATTTAGATTAAAGTAGAATAATCTAAATAATTAGACTATGATTATTTCATTTTAAATTAATGATCCACAAAACATTAACAATTCAATTTAATCTAACTAGAAATAATTACTAACCACTGTGGTGCAACTAACCAACATTAACAAGCTAGTCCCAACAAACAACATCCAGCCATTCATTAGCCTAATAAAACGTGCAGTTCACTACAACTTAAAATAGCAGCCCAAAAGATTGTGTTCTAATTTAAATGTATGACTTGGACCGATTCCCAGCCCACTAAAATAATTGGCCTTCAGGAAATAGCAGCCCACTAAACCCTTACGTATGAAATATGAATATGATTGCCGCACTACATAAATATTCGGACAACTACACACTTCCTTCCAACTCAATTAACATCATTCTAATTAATCCCTCTTTCATTAATTAATGGGATAATGACTTAAAAAGGTAATGTATTTTTCGTTTTGTACACATTTGGTCAATGAGTTTTTTTTTCGTCCATATTACCCCTTCAACTTGTTAAACTATAATATATTTTTACTTACGATTTTATAAAAAAACATTCATACATGCATTCATAAAAAAACATATAGACAGGGGTAGACGCATGAATACATAGTAGGTGTTTCCGAGATGAAATAGGTGTTGCTGATACATGAAAAATAGGTATAAACGAAAAAAATCGAAAATTCTTCCAATGCAGACAGAAAAAACAGGTGTTGCAGGTGCAACACCGAGACCAGACTAAATTTGCCCCTGCGTATGGATATAAAAATCGTAAGTAAAAATATATTATTTTTTAATGGGAGTAATCTAAATAAATGTTGTAGTAAACTAAAATACGAACACGTGGATATAAAGATCGTTCGCATGGATATATAAAGATCGTTAAAATCCGAGATCGTATGAAGAAGTTATGACGTTCAGAACACATGACCTAAGCAACCAACTAGTTGAGATTGCGATGGACATAAGCATCAAAAGGCTCAAACACTTCATTAATGAATTTCTCACGTAAGATTTCGTGAGAAAACCTAAAGTAATCATTCATAAGTACTTAATGAGTACAAAAACAAAAATCACTTATTTTGTATAAAAAAAATTTAAGGACTAAATGTGTACAAAAATATTAAGGACTAAATGTGTACAAAGTGAGAAATATATTACCCTATTAAGTCATTTTTACCGGCTAACCTGAAGTAGCCGGTCATAAAGACTGAATGTGTACGGTTTAACAAGTTGAAGGGGTAAATGTGGACGAAAAAAAACTCAGTGGCCAAATGTGTACAAATCGAAAACTACATTACCCTTTTAAGTCATTATCCCTTAATTAATCAGTTTTAGACTCCAAAAGTGGGTCCTAGGCCTATCTTTTTTTTAATACAACAAATATATATAAAAAAGACAAAATTGCAAAAATGATCACTGTGGTATGCAAAATTTTGGGTTTTTAGTCCAAACCCCGAGTTTTTTGGATTCATGGTCATTTTGGAGTGGTTTGTATGTGAAAAATGGTCCATCCAAAAATTGAAATGACTATAATACCCTTGGGGTATTTATTTTTCATTTTTCTTAAAATTTAATATTTATTTATTTATTTTAACAACTAAAAAAATAAAAAGGGGCCCACCTCTCTCTCTCTCTCTCTCTCCAAAAAGTCAAAAAACCACCCGATCCATCTTCTTCCCCAAATAATCTCTGCTAGCAAACAAAGCCATTCTCAAGCGCCTGGTTTCACAAACCAAGACCATCCCATGCGTTGTATTCATCTTTGAGGTATGTTTCCTCGTTATATCCATACCTTTCTCGTGACAGAATTGTTAGATCAGAAAGAAACTTTCATGGGTTTGTTTCCAAAAATAGGGTTTATAAGTCATTTATTGGTATGGGGTATTATGTGATTTTGAGGAACATTATGGAAAAAACCCTGGTTGGTACACCCAATACACTCCCTACCAGGCTGAAATTGCACAGGGAAGGCTCGAATCCCTGCTCAATTTCCAAACCATGGTAACAGATCTTACTGGTTTACCCATGTCAAATGCTTTATTACTCGATGAAGGAACAACAGCTGTAAAAGCCATGGCGATGTGCAATAACATCTGGAAGAATAAGAAGAAAACATTCATCATCGCAAGCAATTGACACCCACCACTCGACTCTGCCCCCTTTCCTCTTGTCGGCTGATGGACTCATATCGACTTCCACCTTTACCCACAAACTTAGATAACAGGTAAGAGGCGTTGTGAGAAAGCTAAAGAGTCAACGATGATGTGAAGAAGAATCGTTGAAGTCGACACCTTTCTGATGAACGAGAGATAGAGAAGACGAAGAATATGGATTTTGTTTTTGGAGGATTAGGTAATGACAAGGGCTGATTTCGTTTTTGTGGAGAGAGAGAGAGAGAGAGAGAGGACCCCATATTTTTAATTAATAAAATATTAAATTAAATAGAAAAAACAAAAAATATATATATCAGAAGGGCATTACAGTCATTTCACTATTCAGAGGGACCAAAAACCCAACGAAACTAGCTCAAAAGGACCACCAATCCAAAAAAGTCGTGGTTTGGACTAAAACCCCCAAAAAATGCATACCACAGGGACCATTTTTGCAATTTTGTCTATAAAAAAATGTAGAACCTATCTTATTTATGCTAAAACGCCTACCTATTTTTGCTTTATTTATATAAGGAACCACGTGGTTGTTGGTTCTAAATTTGACATTGTCGTTGACTGTAATAAGTAGTACTTGTGCACCTTTTCTAATTCAAACTTCCATTTATTATATAATAAACAATTTAACATGATAATACACTGAAATTATAGGATGGATACCATTTTTTTCCAACTAGTTTATAACCCGTGAGAACCACGGTTACAAAGTTAATTAAACTTTCATAGTGAAAACGCAAAATTATTAATCAATTATTTTAAATAAATTATTAATTAAGAGATATTTTTCTAGTTATGTATAAAATTATAATCATTCATTTAAATAAATACACGACCTTATAATTTATATTACATTTATTTTAATTTTTATTCTAATATTATTTAATTTAGTGTAGTTAGAGTGAAAATTTAAAATTTGAAATTTAAAATGGAGAATTAATAGGTTGACATGTGGCATGACATTAATTAGGATGTCTAATAAGGTGACACATGACAAAAGAAAAATCAACCTATCCTCCTTAATAAATGAATGTTTTTTTTGCCACATGTCAATATCTCATGAGTTTTGACACTTATCATTTTGTGGTATTTTTGAAATAAATATTATACACTTGTCAATTTTTGATTTGTTTCAATTTTAAAATTAAAGTCATATAGTTATGTATGTAAAGTATTAAATATCATATATATGATATTAAATTGCAATAAATACATTTCTTCTTTTCTTATTTTAAAAATTGTACATTTAAAAAATATTTTTTGTTTACACTTTAATTTAATGTTTAATCTTTTTTAAAATCAACTCGTATAATACACGAGTCTTACACCTAATTCTTTTATTAGAATAGAGATTTCAGAATCACACCCTATCTACTGGTTATCTCAAATCTATTACATATCTAACCTTATCTCACATTACCATCTCAAAGCAACACTCAATACCAATCTTGTAATAACAATTCAAATTTTTTGATGTAATTTGTCCAAACTTCATCAGTTATTGACAATCACATAGGATTTCGTATATCAGAATCAAACATAACCTCTTAATAATATGCTACAATCCTCTAAACATCCAAAACTAAAATCATTCATCTATTCGTATAAATTTTGGAATTAATCAATGATTTCCCCTTTATAAACCTAAAACTCAAAAGCAAGGTTTTACCTTAATTAGGACCTCAAATGGCTAACAAATTAGCTTCAAATAACACAGCGTCGCGATCGCTTTAACGCGAGAGGTGATTATCCAAAATAAATCTTTTAAAATTGGACTAAATCAGCAACCTTCGGTAGTTAGGGAAGTCTATGTTTTGTTTTCTCCAATTTCACCTTGAAAGAATAAATGAATCAATTTTCCTTTAATTTATTTCTTTTCTAAAATAATATAATCCTTGACAACCTTAATCCTTCCTCTTTAAACAATACATATCCAGTCCCTGCAAATATCGCTCACCAGTTCAGCTAATGTGGAGGCCCCGAAGCATCAGCTCTATAGACTAACCATGCCGATATGTGATGAAAATGTTCGTACCTTCTGCTACACTTTGACAATCTATTATTACTTCTCTTTTATTTGTCTTTCTTTTATTTTCGGTTGTCCATAACATAAGTTGGGTGTCTTGCAAACATAGCACCTTTCCTCTTATATCTGAAAGTTATTGTGGAGGTCCTTTTTTACCTTCCCTTTTATTATGTGTGTTTCCAGTTGCTAAGAATTACACTCAACTTTTTCTTCCCTTCATATTCTGTATCATAGGCTCACAGCTAGTGGGTGGTGACATGATAACTTCATATAGAATATGGATGCCACATTTTTTAGGTAATGGTGGTGGTCCATCCTTTCCCTTTCGTTTCTCTCTGTTTACAAGCAACTAGAAAGGCAAACAGAGCACCTTTCGTTTCTCTCTGTTGACTTTTTTTTATACATAAAATCATTTAACATTACATCCATGTTATGCCATATCATGTTCAAATGAAATGAATGGGAGATGACATAAAACCAGTCAAATCCATGTTATACCAAACTTACCCACATAAACTCTGAATTGGAGTCATATTTTAAAGTGATGTGAACTGCACTAATAGTTGAAAACATGTATGTTTTTATTTTTATTTGAACTTTTTAGTTAGTTATCTTGTGTAAATGTCCCAGGCTAACACCAGAAAATCAGCAGACAATGTTGGTAGTTCACCGGGATGCTTTCCCATGATCACTTCTAGTGCCACAATCCCAAAGCTATACACATCACATCTCTCGGTTGCCACCATCGTATAAGCAAGCTCTACATCCAATGAAACATTAAAAAAAACTACTTCAATCCCAAAAGATTCTAACATAAATACGTATATATATTTATATATATCATGAAACTTGAGAAGATGTTGAACTACAATCACAAGATTACCATAGGTGCCTGCAATTGTGGTCCAGTTGGATGAGTCTAGCTTTAAAAGCTTGGACGTGCCAAAATCAGAAATATGTGCCTCATAATCAGAATCAAGAAGGATGTTGGCAATGCAAATGCCTCTATGAATTATAGGAGGTGAGCAGTCATGATGCATATAAGCCAAACCATTAGCTATAGTCTTTACAATATTGACCCTTTTCAACCAATCCAATTCTTTTGCTAAGACATCGCATTTGAAGATCGATCCAAGGCTTCCCTTTTCAAGGTATTCATAAATAAAAAATGAATGGCGGGCATGGGAGTAGCATCCATAGAGTTTCATTATGTTTTGATGCCTTATGTTCGTTAATGCTTGTACCCCAAGGGTATTAAGGACATGTTCACAAAGTTAGAGTAAAGGGGAACTGGACCTGTGAGCTTATTGTTGGACATGTCAATTTCAATCCCACTAGGCAAACTTGTAAAAGCGTTAGGAATAGAACCAGATAGTCTATTGTGAGAAAGGTTCAACTTTTGCATATTTTTCAAACTTTGAACTTCAAATAATATCTCTTGTGTGAGCAAATTCTGAGATAAATAAACTTGGGTAAGTTGAACTAATTTACCAATCTCTGATGGTATTTTGTCACTAAGCTTGTTATTACTAAGATTCAAAGAGTGGATATGTTCCCATTGACTAATAGTTCTTGGTATTGGTCCATTCAATCTATTTGTGGATAGATAGAGTACTTCAAGGAGTTCTAAAGCTCCGAGCTCTGGAGGAGTAATACCTGAAAGTTGTTATTAGCCGAGGACAAATTCAACATACTTTTCATCTTCCCAAACTCCTTTGGGATTTCCCCTACCAAATGATTGTAAGAAAGATCAATCCTTTGTAGTTTAGTTGAATTTGCAAACTCTGGTGGTATGCTACCATTGATGTTGTTATAGGCCATCACTAAGCCTGTCAAATTCTTGCATTTACTCCAGTTTTGAGAAAGTTGCCCGTGAAAATTATTGTGACTGATATCTACGTAATATAAGTTTGGATAGACCCAAAGCTATCTGATATATCTCCACTGGATTGGTTTTTATCAAAATGAACCCTAATAAGGTTGGATAATTCTGTAAGCCTCTTGAAATAAGCCAGTGAGTTGACTAAGCTCTAATTGAATACTTCACGAATTGAATTTTGGGACGAAATTCTTTCAACTGGGGAGACTGTGACAACCGTCCAAATTCGAGTCGGTTTTAGATTTGAATAAACTTAGTTTCACGTATATGCACGACACATGCTAGACTTAGTAGCTAGAAGCTAAGTTATAACCTACTAGAAACTTGGAAACAATTAGAAATGAAGGATAGTGTACTTAGATTCACATTGATATGTGAATTCTACAACTACTTTAACTGTAGCGACTATCCAAATTCAGGTCATTCCTTGACTTGAACATCTTTGCATGAATCATATAGACACATCATGCACTTGACCTAGTACTATAAATTAGATCTGAGTCTCGTAGGAACTTAATTCAAAGTTGAAACTATGACTAGTATACTTCGTTCTTCAGCTTCACTTGAATCTCGGAACCACTACATAGAATTGCCAATAAACCGAAAAAAACAAATTACAAACATTATTTATAACTATAAAAGAGTTATAAGACTCAAAAGTAATTTGAATTCTCAAATATTCATTTTTATTTTGATATCCAAAGTTTAGCAAAACCCTAAAAGCCCTAAAAACTCAAATTTATAAACTTTAACACCTAAAACTCCATAAAATTTGTTATGAACATTATAATGTCAATTTAAAATGACTAAATTCAGGAAAATGTAATCAAGGAAAAAAAATTAAGACATTAACATTAGCATAAACCTGTGAACTCACCAACTATTTTATAGTTGACGCTCGTTTTACATGCTTTTTCAGGAATAATCGGGTATGTGGCACATAGAGACATGTCACTTGTAGGAGCATTCGCATGTGTGATTCTTTTTATACGTTGTAATTACTTTTAAAAGTTGTTCAAATTTAATGTATATTGTAAAACTTTTAATACTATGGTTGGTGTTGTCTTTTAACTTTTGCTATGAGACCCTTTGTACTGTTGCGCCTCGTGTTTCTGCTTTAGCGGGGTGTGACAGAAATGGTATCAGAGCCAAAGGTTATAGAGAATACTGATTTTCCTTTACAGAACCACAACTATAGGCAAAAAATTTCAAAAAGTGTTTAAGATACTAAACATACTACTGGTATAACTAATTCGAGTATGCATTATTGGACTTTAATTAAGTATATCCTGGTCAACTACGCTTAATTAAGGAAAATTAATGCGAGGTTGGAAACGGTTATAGTAGAAATATGTTCAAAACGATTTTCAACTTAAACTTTTGAAAAACAAATTTTTTCGGTGTGTATGGGCATTGCATATTATAGGCATTCATCTAGGTACACTTAGAAACTAAGTTCACTATTATCACAATGCCTTTATTTAGAAATATTTTTATCCATTATCAAGTACTAGGCTAACAAGTTAGGTTATATCACTAGCCACTCTAGGAGCAATCCACTTAGTATTGATAATGATTATTCCTTAGTAGCTATTGACTTTAGACGTAAGGTTAGTAGCTAGATAGCCACTAGTAATAATCTTAAGTCGAAACCAATACCAATTATACCTCAATACCTATTTATCGCCATCATACTAGAGTTACAACTAGGAAAATCATTTCAACACCGACAAGGAAGACAATTGGAGCATTGCGCTAGGAGGTATATGAGTCGCCACGAGTAATCACTTGGATCCCATTGGTGAGCATCCCTAATATGATTCATGAGGAGACATGAAAGTTCAATCCATTGTTACTAATACATGAGACTTCTCTTCTACGCTACAAATTTACCTTTAGGTTGTCTCCACCTAAAGCTTAAAACTTAACATAAAATATATCTTTGACCCAAAACCTTATCTTTGGTGATTCTTACCGTACCATCTTACTTTGTATTTAAGCATAAATGGTCTCGATTTAGTTTTAGGAAGCTTGGGTTGGCTGTGTTGTTGCTGAGGGAGCGTTTGGGCTTCTGTCAAGTGGTTCAGGTGAGTTTTCTCACTGTACTTATGGATCGAAGGCACCAATGCCAGCCCATTAAGTTATGTATCTGGTTTGAGGATATTGCTATGATGAATTGTAGATCTTTTAGTACTGAGTCCTGGTATATAGGATATTATTATGCGATAGTGAACTATAGATTTGCCTGTTAATTTTTGACTATTGATATGATTATCTGTTACTAATATATGTTATCTGTTATGTATATGTCGACATAATAATGTAGTCGATTGATTTGTTTTTGGTTGGGGACATTTGTCTCGTCTTTTTTAGTGGCCCCCTCTCGGGGTGCTTCAAGTGGTATTTTGGTTATTTGAAATCTAGATCTTATTCATAGTTTTTGGATGGTGACTCATGACTGATTTGTTTTGGTTGAGGCGGAGCTGATTCACTATGATCTTATGGTGTTATATATTTCAGTGTATGTACTACATGACGAGGCAGTTGTGGGAAGGGCTATGAGTTTAAATTTAATTATGGGGAATGTGTTGTGATGGGGGGTTTCATTGAGTTCTGAGATGAGTGTGAGAGGCTTGGTTCTTAGTTTTCCACGGCTCTTGTGATGGTTTATAATAAGTTTATTGATGTCTTGGATCTTGTGGATATTACTTTAGGTGGTCCTAGATTCATGTGGTGTGACAAGTTGTAGTCAAAGTTTAGTAAGGTTGATAATTTTCTAGCTACTTATGGTTTATGAGTCTTTTCCTCACCTGTTGGGGATGGTTTTAAAGAAGAAAATTATTGATCACTATGGAGCACATGGTAGACTATGGTCCTTATTTTTTCCTATTGTTTCATTCTTGGTTTGGTATTCATGGGTTTGATGATGTGGTGAGAATTTCTTAGGCTACTCCTAATTTGGAGGTGGATAATCCTTGGGTCGTGTTTATAGAAAAAATTTTAGATTCTTAAACATAATCTTAGGGTTTGGTTTAGTTTCTCTTGATCATAGGTGGAGGTGTGTTGAAAGGGTTTGTATGATATGCTTGATTTGTTTGACACACAACTTATAGACTTTGATGGTTCTAATGATATTTATGAGAGGCGTATTTCATCGATTAGTGAGCATTGAACTTTAGGGAATTTTTCCCAGTTAAAGTTGGCCTAGAAAGCCAAGGTGCAATGGAGTATTGAGGGTAATGAAAACTCAGGATTCTTGTAACATCCATAAAAATCATGCCAAATTTAAACTTTTTCAAAATATTTCAAAACCATTAATTATTACAAAACTTGTTTTCAAAATAGTATAATATCAGAGTATCCCAGAAACAAGTCATAAACATGAGGAGCTTTACGATCACGCCTTTGCCTTTCCGCGATCATCTGATGTACCAGAAACAAAAACTGAAACTGTAAGCCCAAAGCTTAGTGAGTTCCCCCAAAATACCCATACACACAATAATATACATATAATCATAAATAGCATACTACGAGTCTAGTCAACCATCGGATTGGAATACCCTAGGCCCTCAACCTGTAACGACGTAAATTTTAAAACAATTTTTCATTCTTCAAACATAATAAAACTCATATAATATTCTCAAAATCTCATGTATCAATGTCATCACAATAAAACATATCCCAGATCTCAACACATAATCTTCTGTCAGTGTGTACAAATCATGCCGGCGCCTTCCCATGACCCTCGCTGGTACCTGAAACACATATCAGATAACACGGTAAGCATAAATGCTTAGTGAGATTCCCAATATACCACACATAGCACATAAGCCACTCGAGGCTATAACTCGGTATGACCCTCCGGTCAATGTGTCTCAGCGGGACCCTCCAGTCCCGTAGCTCGTTGGACCCTTCAGTCCGGTCTAGCTCGTTGGACCCTCCAGTCCGGTCTAAATCGTTGGACCCTCCGGTCCGGTCTAAATCGTTGGACCCTCTGGTCCGGTCTAGATCGTTGGACCCTCCGGTCCGGTCTATATAACACATAACATACATATATCACAATGTACATAAACTCAAACATACACATAACACATAAGACCCTCCGGTCTGCAGATAGTTACCACTCTAGGTAATGTATAGTGAGAAGACTCACCTCGATGATTTCTAGTAAACTCTCGCGCTCGATATCCCCGATCTAGCCTCCGCCTATCAAAATGATAATATCTCGAATCAATACTCTCTTTATACCCTCATCTCTAAAGAATGGGTAGAAGACCATTCTACCCCTCCATAGCCTTTCTTGAATCAGTTTGACCAAACCCTAAGGTC